GAGATTGCATAAAGATAATCAATTACTTCTTTAAAGGCCTAAAATAGTTTTCTCAGCCATATCCAATTAATAAAGATTTTTGCCAACACTACACTAAAACATAATGGATTTAACACTCTGATGAAAAAAAATTAAGTTTGATATAACTGGAAGATTTGACTACAGAAACTTATGTCACAGAATTAATGAGCTCCAAAATACACTCCTGGCTAATATTCTATGCCTAGAGGAATGATGGGCAAGCTTTGAAGAGCAAGAAAAGAACACACCAGAACTTCCAGAGAACTGAAGATCATATTCCTTGAAAGAAATTGTTAAGTAGGAAAATGAGTTGAATATTCACAGCAAATCAGTAGTAAATCTATTCTCAACAACATCTTTTTTTTTTTTTTTCTTTTGCAGAACTGGGGATTGAACTCAGGCCCTGGTGCTTGCCAGGCAAGCACTTATTCTACTGAGCCATCTCCCCGGCTGTAAATCTATTCTCCTAGGCTGCAGTGTGGCTGGCTCAGTGACAGAACTTCCTAGCCTGCACAGTGTCCTGGCTTCTACCCCCGGCACTGTTTAATTTTGTTTTTAATCTCTGCTCTTTATTATCATATTGTGCTACATATGGGACCTATTCTGAAGAGGCACAGATATCTGAAAACTCATATTTACAGTCTTATCCTGAATTCATTACAGAAAAACTAAGGGATAGGGAGGGGGAGAGTGCAAACCGAGTTCTTTGGAGGGTAAGAAGACAGCAGCTTCAAAGTCATGCAGTAGGTACATGTGCCATCTGCCCAAGATGAATGCAATTATCAGAGGTCACAAAATTATACTCATAAAAGTCCAGACATTAAAAAAAATACAGTTCCTGTCAATAGTAATTCCTACATGTTTGGAGATTAAAAAACAGATTTCAAAACAACCCATTTGCAGTATGTGAAAACTTGGAAAAATATTAACTGTCTGAAATCAAAAAAAGTAACAAGATAATGTAGAATTCTGGCTCTTGGAGGAATCTGAGGAAGGAACAAGCACCTTTGAAATAAAACATGTTGGACAAAGCCACGAGCCTACAGCTCCATACTGGGCCACTGGTACACTATTTGGTTTGGACAATTTGCTTTACCTTTTCAGGTTTCATGAACATGCTGATCTGAAAGTGAGATGACTCCAGGTTACAAACTCGCCTCTCACATCATCTCAGGGACAACTGCCTAGTGCCCCTTCCTACACACTTCCATGGCTCTTCCTTCACTCCTTTTTTCTATTACGTTTCCTCCTCTTTCCTTCTGGGCCCATGCTACCTTGCACTACTGCTAGACCCATCCTGATGAATCTTAAGTAAGCTGAGACAAATTACCCTGCTTGAGGTGATTTCTTCATCAGGAGAGAGCAATACCCTCAACAGTACCGTGTAAATACAATTGGGCCAGACTGCGGAAGCACGCTGCAAACCCAGGGCTTTCTGTACCAACTTGGAAATATTCTCAGGATATTTTAGTGTGCCCAGTGAACATTAAGCAGTATCATTATGGCTGGAATCATCAAGCCTTAATTTATTTTTAACCACCAGCTTCCCAAGCCTTTCTTGGAATCGTGGGACTAAAAGAAGCCAAAGAGATCATCTCATTCAGTCACCAGTGTTTTCTAAATGCTTTTACCCTAGAGAAGTCAGAATTTTGTTTACACTGAAACTTAAAAGAGTTATAGGCTTTCTGGAGCCCTGTGGATATTCAGACAACAAACACTACCACCACAAAAGAGGTTAAATTAAGCTATCTCGCAAAATTTTCACTAAGCTTCTTCCAACTGTCTCCTTGTAATTCTAGCACTCTGATGTTGAAATCAAAAGTGTTAGATTTCTTTAGGTACTTCTGAAATTCAGCCAAGGCATATCCAACCAAAGAAAAATCATTATGGGACATGAATTCTTAAAAATTTTGGTACCAACCAAACATGAATTTCCTTGGTACTGTAAGAAATACTGTAGAATGGAAAAGAGGTTTTTGTTTTTGTTTTTTTGGTGGAACCGGGGATTGAACTCAGGCCCTTGAGCTTGCCAGGGAAGCACTTATTCTACCGAGCCATCTCCCCAGCCCTGGAAAAGTATTTTTATAAAAATAATCTTTTCATGAAAAGAAGAGTTTGGTGTTACCTGTAAAATATCTGTTTCATGACAGATTCTCTGTTTTTCTAAGTTTCTGTATAAAATACATGCATCATCAGAACTCTGGGTCATAATACAGACCCCCACTTGAAGGAAAATATAAATAGCATATTTCAACATCTTTGATATAAACAATTTGCTGGCATCAGATCATGATTTTTCTTTAGCACACTATCAGTTATCTGGTGCTTCATTCTGTCATCCAGGACTCTAGCCTTTCAAACACTCAACTGATATCCATTTATTACACCCCACAGAGCTCAATCTTTCACTCACTCCAGATCTCTAATCAAATACTGCTTTATTAGACCTACACCACTCTATATTAAAAAAACACTCCCACCATTCTTGCCCTTCCAAATTCTATTTTATTTTTTTTTTCAAACTACTGATCACCTACATTATTTGTCTGTTGTTTACTGTTTCCCAACAGAGCATCAGTTCCATTAGGATAGGGACTCTGCTAGTCCTGCTCATTGTTAGATATTTAGAATAGGAAACAGTGCCTTGTAAAGAGAAACCCATCAATCAATCTGTACTTGATAAATGAATAAATGGAAAAATAATAATCTGTGTACAAAAGTCTTTTCTATTCCAGATATGCTGAAATCGAGGAGCTTGTAAACATGGGTTAAAAATGATAGGCAAGTTGCTGCCACCACAGGTGTGACCATGAAACAGTAGAAAAGGTGAGGAGAGGAGGAATAGGGTGCTATGGAGAATCTCACAGAGCACCAGGAAGAAAGAGCAGAGGGTGGAGCTGAGGAGTGAACCAAAGGCACAGACTTGCAAAGGGAGAGTTGTCAACTGAGCTCAAACCCACAAGGAGCGCCAGGCAGACAAGGAGCAGGAGGATGGGAAGGACAGAGCTGTTGGCTTTTGGAAGACCAGTTTTTGTGGAATTATGGAATAAAAACCAAGTGGCTGTGTCTTGAGACAGGCAAAATAACAAAAGCAAAAAACAATGGCAGAGGCTGAGAGCCAAGATATTCTCTCTTCAAGAAACTACTGAATTATTGTCAAATACACATGTATGCAGATGGATGAATGTTTAGAATTTTCTTTGTAGTCCCACAATGCCTTATAAACTGTGACCGAGGTCATGGGATTAAAATAGTAAAAAAAAAAAAAAAAAAAATGCTTAACAGCATACATTGTATGAAAATATTTTCCTAATCAGAATCAATTTACTGAGCAGTTTCCCTCAATAAATAGACAGTTTATTTCTGTGACTTATTTTTAATGAGTTCCAATATCTTTCATTCATTTTGTGTTTGTTGTTTATAATGCATTCTTGATTAATGGAACCTTTACAAAGTTACCTTGAGGGCAGGCCAGATAGCTTGGTGGATTAAAGTACCGGCTTAAGCAGAGACAAAGACCAGGGTTTCCCAGCATGCTGAGCTGGTCCCGCCCCCAGGGCACTGAGACTGGCCTTGGTGGCACCCACCTGTAATCCCAGTGCTTGGGAGGCTGAAACAGGAGAACTGCTATGAGTCCAATCTGTGTGGTGAGACCCTGCAGACCCTGTACTAAATACAGAAAGAAAGAAAGAAAGAAAGAAAGAAAGAAAGAAAGAAAGAAAGAAAGAAAGAAAGAAAGAAAGAAGAAAGAAAGTAAGTAAGTTACCTTGAGGCTTCATCTCTTCTATCAGAGTCAGAAGCTTGTCCTTCAGGATTAAGGGTCTCACTGCTGTACTTCAACAGATTTAGCATCCCACTTGCAGCAGAACCAACTTTAACACAGAAAGGGTATATGCTCTCTTGGATTCATAAAGGCTGAGCTAGGAAGGTAGCATGGTACTAAGGAGGAAATTATTTCGCTCTGCTTTCTACCAGAAGAACCAAGAAACAGCTACCTGAGGAAATGTATTTCCAGGAGAGTTTAAAAATCATGTTATGGTCAAATGTCTTGCTTTTCTAAACACACAACCAAGTAGACTAAATTGTAGTTCTCACACTACAGCACGCAGGGAAATCACTCAGAGGGTTTGTTGAAACAGATCTTGCAGGTCACACTCTCAGAGCATCTGACTTAGCAATTCTAGAGTACGACCAAATGCTTTGCGGAGGTAGCAGCTTCTCAAGTGATGAATATGGTGTTGGACAAAACCCAAGCTCGCCAGAACCACTGGTCTATGCATCATACTGGGCAGATTTTCATTAATTCTTTTTCTAGTTTTCTGTTGTCCCTCAAAGAAAATGAGTCAAATTCTCATTTTAGCAACAACGGTCCTGGCTTTTGTCAGCTTCTCTTGCTAAAATATTCAAAAGAAAAAAAAAAAAAACTTAAGCTTTTAAAACAGTAAAATGTTATGCTAGGAATTCCCATACCTGAGTTTATGGTCTTCCACTTACTTTTAATAGAATGAAAGTTTTTATCTTAGTCAATAGATTTTACTGCCTCAAATGAAATTATACAGAAAAAAAAAAAAAACTAGAATTAAACAGTGATTAATTAGTAAGTGATTCTCGTTCAGTTGTGAAACATTCAAATAAACAGATTTCCCCACCAAATTCTCTTAATACTTTTCTAGAAAAAGAGGGTAACAATTATACAGTGACGGGGGGCATTAACACTTACATGGCACACAAATCTTTCGGGGTTTTTTTTTTTTTTTTCTTTTTTTTTTAAATTTTCTTTTTAGGCCAAAGGAAAACACAGCGTTATCAGAATCTTATGACCTAATGGTAGGCTATCATGCTTAAATTAGGATCTCTGTAATTAAACTATTTTTCTTCCTTTGCTTAACGTTTGTCTTCCTTTGCTTAAGCCTGGACACCACGTGGCTGATGGTAGGGTGTGAGCTGGCTGCGCAGACCGGATGTTGCAGCCAGAGGCACTGAAGGAGCTTCCTGCCCATTCTACTCTTGAGAAATTCCAAAGAGGTTAGGGTCACGCTGGTTAAAACATTTGTATGAGCAAAGTAATATTCGGAGAGGTACCAGCTGTAGATTTTTGCTTATCTTCCAGTTCTAGAATATAAAGATCAAAAATTAGATTAAGATTGTGCCAATAAATATTTTGATTAAAATAGGCAATTAACTTGGTAGGAAGTTTTTTCCAGAACATTAACTCCTAGAGGACACACTAGTTCATTTGTGTTTGATTTGCTCTTTTCCTACAGACAAACTTACCTAGCTAAGAAAGCCATGTCCAATACAAACAAAATTCAGATGATATGTATTTTGATCCAAACATTAACACACAGCCCAATCATAGAGCATTTGAGATGGTCAAAAATGATAGAAACTTTGCATAAACCTGACTCCTATTCAACAGGGCTGCTAAATTATCAGTCATCTAACATTTATTGAACTTTCTCCTAATATTCTTTGTTCACTGTCTGCAATATCTATTAAAATCTCCACCAGCTAGGAACCTAGAAAATTCTTCAATACATAACTTACATGTTTGTAGTAAATTCTCCATGTTTTAAAATTTTACACTCCACATATCTCTGACCTTTTCTGTACATAAATAGGGAACCAAAAACACTGATGGACAATTTAGTGTCCATGTTATGAATACTTATATGTAAAAATATTATTCCTGATTACAAACAAGCCCCTGGGTTTGACATTCAGCACATGGAAAGGAAAGGAAAGGAAAGAAAAGGAAAGGAAAGGAAGAGAGAGAGAGAAAGAGAAAGAGAGAGAGAGGACAGACATTTGCAATCTCAAAGGCTTTTCATTTTATACACTTTATTACTAATTTCTGAAATCAACATAGCTCTAAAAATAGAGCAAATCCAAAACAGATTCAGGCAACTAGTAGTTTAATCAGTTAATAATACTACTTAGTTTTACCATAAAACCAGTTGACCAACATCACTGCAACCACAAAGAAAGATTTGATTACTGTCTGCTCCCTCTTCCACAAAAGAATTTTTGAGATGCCATGTAGTGGCCTGACTCTTTACACACCAGTCTAACCCACTCCTGAGAGAGTAACAGCCTTCGAACACTGGTGATGTGTCAGCAGGGAGCCAAAGTTACTAGTAATATCTCCTTCACATTCACCTCCAAGATGAACTGTGAAGTGCTATGTAGTACCATAGAAGAAGGTATAAAGATGGAATTATGAACCTGAGTTCTTCCTACAGAGATGTAGAGCTGACCAATCAGCGAACATTTCCTGGACTCCCCAGCAGGCATCTTGGTTTTGCTTGGCAAAAAAAAGCCTGCTTTTTCCTTTGGAGACCTGCCCCTTCCAATCTCAGTGCATATTTTGGGGAATGAGAGGTACACCAAGCCCACTGTCAGCTCAAGATAGACCACATAATTCAGGCTCAGGCAATGATCCAACCACTTCCCTCAGACAACTGTGATTAGTCTGGGTGATCACATGACCTGAAGTAATCCAACAGAGTTGATGGGCATCAGGTCTACAACTTTGTCTGGATCTACTAAGAGAATGAAGTGCTCCCTCTACACTCAAGGGGCACAGTTTAAGGAATGCCTACCTAAAAACGAAACTAAGGCAAGGAAAACAAAAACACTGAATTAAAAGGTCAGAGTCTTGCTAATAAATTTGGAAACCAAATCTAGTCATGATTAAACATTCAGCCAAACCCACCCCTCGCCTTCATACTGAGTCAGTGTGCAAGTTGGGTTTCTTAACTTGCAACCAAGAGTTTTTACAAATTATACGTATTCTAAAATCTGCATGACATTAGGCAAAGTGCCAAGGATACAAAACATGCAGCAAACAATCCCTCCTGTCAAGAATCTTCTTAGCATCCAGTTGGAAAGACAAGAAATAAACATAAAAAATAACTAGAAACATGCGGCTTAACTCGATGATAAGTTCTATATGATTGCAGAAAGGAGATATTAGCATAGGCTGAATAGTGAGCAAAATTTCACAATTGAAAAAGATGAGCTGGAAAATGACTCAGACGTGGGTGCCTGTAGAGGAGGCCAAGAGCATTCCAGAAAGGGTGAACTACTTGAAAGCAGAAAATCCAGAAACTAGTTAGAATTTTGAGAGAACAATGTAGCATAGATAAACAACAAATGGACCACAAAATGCTAAAGCATGGAATAGCAACCACAATTTCTAATGTCCAAGAGTAAAATGAATAAGTATCTTTCTAAACATTTACATAGTATATATAATATTTTAAATCTATTCCATATGGGGTGATATTAATTACTTAAGTAGACTATAATAGCCAAGTGTTGAAATTATAGTTGAAGAACTAATAACAAAACCAAAAGCAAGCATAGTACATCCCCTTTCCGCTCCATAGACAGCCCTCTGAGCCAGGCAACTCTTCTTGCTCTCCTGTAGCGTATCTCACATAGAACTAAAAGACTAGTGAAAAAAAATCATACCAAATCGATTTTATTTATCTCCTATTTAAGAAGCCAGAGCAAATACTAGATCCATAGGATAAGAGAGGGAGGCTGAAGAGAGAAATACACACAATGCAGGGACACAAGTGGCCACAGTGTTTTCTAGTTTGCTTTGCCTCATTCCTCGTGAGGTGAAAAGTTTACAATAGAAACTATTAAAAGCATTTTTTAAGTCCACAGTGGTTTGAGCCATTTCCCTTGTGTCATTAAGAAATTGCACGGGCAGAGTTTGGCTTGGCTCTTGCTGCCCGCCGGAATGCAAAGTGTCTGTGTCCCTCTTTCCCCTTCTAAGGGGGGATTATGATTTACTTAATTAGAATAAGATGAATGTTTCCTAGGACTGTATTTTTGTAAAAAGCCATTATCAATTGTAATGAAGAAAAACTTTGCTGGTGATTATTTTCTAAATTAATAATTTTTATTTGTGATACAGTGTTGGGGACCCTATGGTGTTTTGTCTTGGAAATTTTGCTAAAAATAAAGGACTACTTCCTCACTAACACACTTTTCCACCTTTTTCATCCTCAGTAATGTTTTCATGAGTAAAATTCTCTAATGTCTTACTAGTGGATGCTAATTTAAATTTTCACTTCCACTTGTGGCATTATCTCAGTTCTTTCTACTGTTAAAACTTATGTCTATTTGAAATAAACATGTTTCAAAGGAACAGTTTTAAAAAATTACTCTGTCCTATAAAGAACCTCTCTCCCCAAACCCAGTTAACAAAGCCTCATAACCCTACCACATATAGTTTCTGTTTTGATCATTTTTGCAGATAAAAATTAAAACACCACTAAACAAATTATTTTTTTCTCCATGCACCTCCAACAGGAGGTAAAGAGTTGCTTATGATTAGACAAAACTGAAAGAATATCACTTCAGTGAAAAATTTCAAAATGTGAAATGCTATATTTAACCCCAGTCTTTCACTCTTTATTTTCATTATTTCTTGAGGCAAATAAACACAACTTTTATATCCTCTTCCAACTGTAGAAAAAAGCAGTTTTCCATGTTAAATTGAAATGTACATGTTTGTTAAGTTTTATACTTGCTGAATGGTAGACTGGATTATTTTTAAGAATCATTCAACATGTGGTTCAGTGACAATCACTGCCATATTTTAATCTGGTAAATGTAAATTTTACTGAAATATACACATATCCCACAGCAAAAAAAAAAAAAAATCAGATAAATTTTCAATATTATGTAAAGGGGGAGAAATGAAATAAAAAGGTGAGGTGCTTTCCTACTCTCTCGGGAAAAGGTGTCATGGTGGGCAATGCAATCCCCCACAGAGATATCCACATTCTAGTGCCTGAAACCTCTGAATAGGTGTGTCATCCCATGTGGCAAAAGGACTTTTCAGACACAGTTGAGATAAATAGCTTGAGATGGGTGAGTTATCCTGAATTGCCCAGGAGTGCTCAGTGTGATCACAAGAGTACTTATAAGTGGGAGAAGGAGGCAGAACAAAGGACACAAATGACAGGATATGATAAGAAATAGATCTAGCAATATTAGCTCTGAAGACAGAGGAAGAAGGCCACGAACCAAGGTAACAACCTCTAGCAGCTGTAAAGCACAGGACAACGGATGTTCCCCTGAGCCTGCAGAAAACAATTCACCCTATAACACCTTATATCAGCCCAAGGAGACCCTTTTAAGGTTTCTGAGCTACTAGACTGCAAAATAACAAATTTTTGTAGCTAAGGAGCCAAGTTTATGAAAATGTGTTGCAGCACAGACAGAAACTGCAGAGTGACATCACGGTCCAAATCAGCAGGACTCACAAGGCTCCATCGCGGCAGCCTCCTTCAAGCAGGAACTCAAGGCACTTTCATGCTAGAAGAGACTTTGGCCCAGGCATGAAAACTAATCCAGAGAGAAAAGCTAAGTGCCTCATCTTAGGCCTCATAGTGCAAGACAGAGTCAGGACCAGAATCCAAGTTCCCTAGATTTGTGGTAGTAAGTCTTCCAGTCATTTTCATGAATGAAGCGTTTTGAATATAGTTGAATAATTTCCACAGAACTTGATGCCATAAGTAGTTATTTTAGAAAGTGCATGTTTCCAGATAACAAAGAGGAAGACATTGCGCTCCACTGCTTTCTCCTGTTCCTAATCAGTGAGTAGGCACACTCACTTGCATTATCCAGCGGTCATGAAATTCAACATGTCTCAGACGAAGCTCTGGGTCTTGCCCCCAGAGTTGGCTCCCCGGGGCTGCCTTTTTCCCCTCACACCCTCAGAGGTGTCCCATGCTCAATCCAGACATGATCCACCACTTCCATTGCTCTTGGTGCTTCCCTTCCTGACATTTTCACCACCACATCCAATCCCTGCACAAAGCAGCTGCTCTGCTTGACTCTCCTTCCACTTCTCTTCAATATTCAATCAGTCTAACCCCAAAATGACTCTAAAACATTCCTTATTTTTAATATCATTGACTTGTGTCCACACATTTGGTAGACTCTTGTTTCTAAACAAGTCCAACTGCAAACTTCTTAGTCTACCTATTGGAAGACTGGTAGACTTTTACTCCAATTTTTAAAAATTTTCCGTCTCCTCCTCCCACTCCGATCCACTGCCGCACAGCATGACTCATTCACCACGCCAC